CCTTTGTTTTCTTTTCAAACTACAGTTATTTCACTTACCCCGCTATATTTTTCCTCCATATATGATCTCTGTGCTTGAAAGTCAATGCTACCTACTTTGTGCAACTAAGCACATGCAATTCGAGACTGCACCCCCAGTAGCTGCACTGCACAATCCCCCTGCTGGGGATGCGCTGCACCCCCAGTAGCTGCACAACAACTGAGGTAGAAATGTGATCCCCTAAGTACTTCCACTGGTGCACTGCACAATCCCCCTGCTGGGGATGCACAACCTAGTATGTAAATGCACGGCACGATTCCTTGTTGCCAGGCACAATGCCCAACACATTCACTCCAGTGTAAATGTACATTATTGCTGGCACAAAGAGGATACAGGCTGTGGCATAAATCCTGGCAGTAAACTGCAACTTGTTAAAGAGATACTGGCTGAGTTCCTAGTTACACACAATAAAGACTTTTGTTATAAACATTAAATATTATTTTTATTGATACTGGAAGTAGTAATCCAAGACAGCAGGAAAAATAAGGTCAGCATTATGCATAGTTTAAGACAGTTCATCCTATCATACAAAAGGTTTTTGTGACAGCAACACTTTCTCTCTCACCTGGCCAGTAAAAGAAAAAAGAGAATTTTAAAAAACCTACAATGAACACTTACCATCTATATCTTGCCCAATAGAAAGTCCAGCCCATTTTCTCTAAAAAAGAAGAGAGGAAAGTGGTTATGGAAAAAGAACCACTTCTAAGGGTTCGTGTTACTTTAGGACACACGATACTGGTATACTATACGTGACAATGGAAGAACACAGAAGAACATACTGCCTAAGAGATGGAGCCACAATCAAAAAGTCACTGAATCAGTTCTTGCTTCTGTCACCTCTTGACCACAAATGTCCTCCTCATGTGCAACATGAGGAAAACACAACTGACCAACCTTTACAGGGTTGTTACAAGGATTACAATAAGATAAAGTGAAGTGCTTTGAACATCCTACAGCCCCTTCTCTAAATGCTAGGCATTATATGCAGCTCTCCTAAGCTTTCAAGTGATTTTGTCTCCAGCATCCTTAAGGAAGTGAGATACGCAGATAAGGCAGGATCACATTATGCAAGACCTGCTTTTGTTCTTCTTGGCTTGAACATCCACAAACATAACTACAGTCATATGCTCTATCATTGTACTGGTCATTATACCCTTTTCATAGTTTGTTCAAAGCCTAGTATCTAATTTGTAAATGAACTCATTCCTTTGCTCTTTATCTTTTACTCCAATCTCCCCCCTCAAGTTGGGGGTTCCTTGGCGCTTTCCTGTTTTCTCAAGCATAATTTCCCACTTTCCCAACTTTATAAAAATTTCTCCCATGGCTGAAATTTGTGAGATTTTATGCATGCAACCTCTTTTAGTTTAAAAATACATTTCAAAACTCATTTGCTTGCAATTAGCAATTCAGAACTACTAGCCTCCTCATCCAGCTTTGACGACAGACAATTTTGAAGTAGTTCCTAAACAAAATTCTGTTGTTTAAAAAAATGTAAGTGCCTGCTAACACCAGAAACATAACTAACATTTTTATTTTCAGAAATTATTTGTATTTTCATCCTAAACTATCTGCAGCTCAGGATTAGCAGTGCAATCTCATTACTTGCAATGGTGGCCCCATATCCTTCTAGACAGAGAAAAACGGTTTTTCCCACAAGGCCTCTAAATGAGATTTAGAGTCACATATCCCAAGCTAACATCATTTTCATGGTTCTCTTGGGGGCAGGGTGAAATCCTAAGTGAAAATCCTCTTTTGTGACTTAATGCATAGTTCTGCAGGCCATTTTTGTTATTCTGTTATAGACAGAGTAAAGACACCTCCTATTCGGCAAATCATTCCCCCATGCTATTCTGAACTATGTTCACAGGTACAAAGTGCTAGCTGACACTTCAGGGGAACCACAAAGATTAATCACAAACTACAAGGTGCTACTGCTAAATATCTAAAACTGGTGCTACTTTTGACAGATTTCTGCACAGAGGATTTTTGCAAGCACTACATCATTGCTATCTCTTTCTAACAGCACAGTGACTGATAAACTGTGGCCGATGAGGTATACCATGAAACAATGTTCATTGCTTCAGAGGCATGAGAAAAACAGTTCTTCAATTATTTAGGGCTATTGTTGCTGCTCTTAGTGTTTCTATTTTTATTTTTCTATTACGTATGTTGTAACCCACCCAGAGTTGTGCCTCAACACTAAAAAGAGTTGGAAAATAAACAAGCAAACAAACAAACATACAAATAAATAAATATCAGAATTTCTAGGTAATCCCATTCTCCATATGGGTTCAAGTCTGTATCAACAGATACCTGGGAGGTTTACTTTTTCCTCATAAACTGACTAGATACTTTTGCCAAAAATTCTAGCTTTCAGAATCAACATCTATTCCATTTTTTACCCCAAAAGAGAGTAAAAAAAGTCATAACCATACCTGCGGTAAACTGAAGGCAATGCTGCCTGGGACAACTGAGGAATGGGTTTTCAGCGTAAAAATATATTTGTGGTTTGGTGAAGTCTTCACAACTACGTGCCTGCAAGAGATGGGGTGGGGGGAAAAAGCAGGATTACACCATACTACGAAATATGGAGTCAAATTAAACAGCTTCTATTTCTTTGAGAATATATAAGGCTCAAAAATTACAAGTTTAACATGAGACAGCTGTCTCCTCTCTGCCTTTAACTATGTAACACACCTTTTACACAAGCCATATCTGAATAGAATCCTACACAGAAAAGGTCTGAACGACTCCTGTCCCAGTGCAGAACAATCATCCAAGTTGTTTCTCAGTCCTAGAAGGAACCTGTAAAATCCATCATCTGCCAAACTTCAGACAGGAGAGTGAAAAGGAGTGCTGTCATGTCCAGGCTGCTTTTGAGCGCCCATGGGGCAGTCCAAAAGGGAGGGAGGGAGGGAAGGAGGAAAGGAAAGGAGGAGTTCAGCACCATGGATAGCTCCCAGTGAGCACCTTACAACACCTTGCCCTGAACAAGAGGCCTATTATGCTGCTGCACCAGCAGGATTTAACGCTGAAGTCTTGCATTTTGTTGCCTCTCCAGGAGTTCCTGGCTAGAGCACAGAAGACACTGCCATAAACAAGGGGTCCCTCTCTCAGTACTGGGATCACACCCAGAAGGTGCGATGTTTCTTCCAGGCATGGAGGCCTCAGATGCAGGGATGTTGGGTTCATCAAGCTTCACTGGTATCCTCACTGGCTCTAGGATGGGATCTGCGCTAGATGTTTCCTCTGTTGGCTCCTCTGTCTTCAGGTCTGAGCGCAGGTTATAGCTGGACACATTGAGCAGGTCAAAAGGAGAAGGGTTTACCAGATTTTTTCTGCCCATCTTTCATTCTCTCAATCACCATTTGCCCCTTGAACTATATAGATTAAACAAAGCACATACGCACACTCAGAGGAAAGAACAAGGGAAGTCCATGTAAATTATAGGGTTGGATCCAAAATAAGTTAGTGGCCTTCAATTCCACATGAATCAATCAGAAAAGTAAATAATGACTAACGTGACCCATTGCTTACAAGGGAAAATGTTACTAATGTAATGGTTATGAAGGCAATAGTTTTGGCCCTAGCTTATATGTATGGCAGGCACTTTTCTGAAGATAAAATACCAGTTATAGGGATTCTGCCTTTTTCTTTTGGTCCGTACGATAAATATTAATTGGAAACATGAAAGAGAGCAATAAACCTCCAAGCTTATGTGCAATTTCTCCTCTCCAATGAGTCACAGGCAAGCCTGCCAAAAATAGCATTCTCTCACCATTGTACATAGAAAACAAAAACTGCTCTCCCCCACAACAGTAATCATGAGCACATACTGCTCATAAATTGTCCTCTGATGTTCAGAATGCTCTAATGACAATTCTAGGAAACAGTCAATTCGAGCAATTCCATTTTACCAACACTCTCTAGAAGGAGTAATTTAAGACACTTACAAGCCAGACTGGAAGTCCTTTTCATTGACCACAGCACAGTTGCTTAGGGAAAGTTCGTCTGTGGGACATCGCGCAGCTTGCATAGTCTGTCACAAAGAAAGAAAAGAAAAAGCATACAGTAAAGAACCAAAAGACATTTATACAAGGTGGATTTGCTTTCAAAAACCCACTTTTGAACTGAACTAAGTGAATAGGCTTTCTTGGGCTCCATAATCACTGCAGATGGAGACAGCAGCCACAAAATTAAAAGACGCCTGCTTCTAGGGAGGAAAGCGATGACAAACCTTGACAGCATCTTAAAAAGCAGAGATATCACCTTGCCAACAAAAGTCCGAATAGTCAAAGCTATGGTTTTTCCTGTAGTGATGTATGGAAGTGAGAGCTGGACCATAAAGAAAGCTGACCGCCGAAGAATTGATGCCTTTGTATTGTGGTGCTGGAGGAGGCTCTGGAGAGTCCCCTGGACTGCAAGGAAAACACACCTATCAATTCTAAAGGAAATCAAACCTGAGTGCTCACTGGAAGGACAGATCCTGAAGCTGAGGCTCCAATACTTTGGCCATCTCATGAGAAGAGAGGACTCCCTGGAAAAGACCTTAATGTTGGGAAAGTGTGAAGGCAAGAGGAGAAGGGGATGACAGAGGATGAGATGATTGGACAGTGTCACCGAAGCAACCAACATGAATTTGACCCAACTCCGGGAGGCAGTAGAAGATAGGAGGGCCTGGCGTGCTCTGGTCCATGGGGTCACGAAGAGTCGGACACGACTAAACGACTAAACGAACGAACAAAGTGAATAGGCCTGTTTAGCATTCAGATTTTTTAAAAAAATGTCATTCAAAGAGCAACCTGCAAGTAGCACTGAGTGATAACACACAAAATGGGAACCTGGTGCAGAAGGCATTCATTATAGAGGCTGGAAGATTCCAATAAGCCAAAGACAGTAATGTTGTGTTACTTCAGACACAGACACAAGGTTGAACATTACTCCAGTGGGAGATTCCTGCAAACAAGAAAGTAATGTGTAGGGAGAGAAGAGTTGAAAGCTAGCTGTGGCCATCACCCTGCTTTGGCTCAGGTAGAAGATTATTGGCATGTACCAATGAGAGCTGTTGGGAGGCTGAGCCAGAGAAACCAGAAGGGAGGGGTGAGTCAGAGTCTAGTAGTTAGTTCAGTCAGAGACAGAGAAGGGAGAATTTGGAGTCTGAGGCAGAGAGACTGTTTAAGGGGTTATTAGTCAGGGTGTGACCTGTATTAAGTAAGATAGAAGAGGTTAAAGTAAAATACTGAAGATTTGTGTAAGAATGTGCTTAAGAACTACAGTGGTGCCTCGCTTAACGAGCGCACCGTTTAACGAAGAATCCGTATAGCGATCCCTTTTTGGGGATCGCTATACGGATCTGCCCCAATCGCCGCACTCGCTTTGCGACGACTGGGGCGTCCGGCGGCCATTTTGGAGCCACCAAACAGCTGATCGGCGGCTCCAAAATGGCCGCCGGACCAGCAAAAACATCGCTGGAGGGGTAAGTTTTGGCGCCTATTGGAACGCATTAAACTAAGTTTAATGCGTTCCAATA